CTCAAAGCCAACGCTGATTGGACGTCCGTTTGGTGAACGGCTCCAAATGTTCTTCAACGGAGAGTCTTCAAACTTATTAGCAAGTGAAACCTTGAAAGCTCGCAAGATCAGGATGGTCTCACGGGGCTAAAAGTACGGACCAGAAATAAGGCAACATCCCAGAGTTTACCTCAACTCGGTGCTTCGTATGAATTCGCCTGTTTGATGGTGGAAGTTTAGAATTGTGAGATTTACAAAGAAAGGAGGTGTCTGATGGGGTTTGAACTTCTCTGTACGAACATTTCACCCACTGAACTATCGTTATTCATCTATGACAATGAAAACTCAGTTTTGCATTCTATGACCCCTTTAAAATAAGAAAAAAACAATGGAATTGTCTTATTTCAAGCTCGTATTATCTAGTCATCTTTTTTGAGAGTAAAAATACTCATTCCATTGGCAAATCATCTTTTTTACGTACTCCTTAGGCTACTCCTACTCCTGTTTTTATTTTATTTTTTTTCCCCTACTTGCTTTGATTCTGTTTTATCTTCCTATATTTTAATCATGTAAAGCACTTTGCATTGTATTTGTACTGAATTGTGCTATACAAATAAATTTGCCTTGCCTTGCCTACTCAAATTAAGGGTAAATACACGTAATAATCATGAATATGAATAAATATTTTACTTATTCCTAGATTTTTTTTGCAATGTAGAGCATTGAAGATGGGTGGAGGCTGGGTCTTCCGACATGACAATCAGCCGAAGCACATAGCCAGGATAACAAAGGAGTGGCTCTGGAAGAAGCAGATCAAGGTTCTGGCATGAACTAGCCAGTCTACAGAACCAAACCCAGTAGAGAATCTTTGGAGGGAGCTCAAACTCTGTGTTTCTCAGCGACAGCCCAGAAACCTGACTGATCTAGAGACGATCTGCTCACTCTGAACGGAGATTCATTCCCACAGAGTGATTTAAAGTAAAAGACCACCACCAACATGCTTTGTACAGAGCCATTATAAACGTTCATAAGGAAGTACAGTAGGTCCCTTTCTAAATGACATTCCTTAATTTAATGGGAAACACACCAATCTCCTTTGGCAGTTCATCACTGGCCGCTCTGGCCCACATTAACTTAAGTTAATAAACCAGCATCTAAAATAAACACAGGCAGCCAGTTGTTGTCATTGCAGCACGGAAGCTCATCCATCATCCGTTTAGTCTCACCAGATCTTCAGATCCATCTTCAACATGTTAAACCGACACCTTTTTCAAGGATTTAGTCATTGTTTTCTATCAAGGACGTTTCAAAAAGCCTAATTTCTGTTTTGGGATTATTAGAAGGAGATGAAATATTTCCCACACTGCTAAATAAATAATTTCTCTTCTTTTTTTCCAGAGTGTGTGAGCTTTTACAGAGTGGAGCAGTGATGAACAAGAGCTACCAGCCTCACGAGGGCCACATCCCCTACCTCCTGCAGCTCTTCATGGATTATAACCTGTATGGCATGAACCTGATTAACATGGGAGCTGTGAAGTTCCGCAGGAGCCATAACAAAGGTTAGAGCATCTCACTTTATATCGAATTATATCGAAACACCCACATTTTAAACCTTATCCATTTAATCCTAGAATCGGTCAATAATCAGCAATACTTGCCAGAGATCCCGAGGTGATATTGCTTTTTATTCATAGGTTTACAGAATAACGAGTAAACAAGGATGACAAATGCTACACAGTGGTCTTTATTTAAACAAAAAAGGACAACGCATTCAATAAAACAGGCCGATATCGGCCAAAATATGGGTTTACCTCTACAGGTGTTGAGTTTAATGACTTAGATTTATTTTGTAATTTTGTTTACCCAGGTGCAGGGCTGGGTATTTTGGCCAAAGTCCTGAATCGATTCGATTTTGATTCATACAGTTCTAAATCCATTCATTTCGATTCGATTTGTTTTTACTATAATGAAAGTGGTTCAACTATTTACTTTTTCCTGTCACATTAAACACAAAGTGCAAACTTGTAAATCAGACGGTTTAAACTTGAGATGTGAACAAAACTGTCTCAGAAGTGCAAACTTGTTTGTGAAAAAGTGAAGCCTCACTCGAGCAAGCAGACGTGACACAGCGGGGACACAGCAGACAAGCATGAGCTGCATTATCTTCCCTGCACAGACCATATTTGCAGGGTTCTCTGTAACAACTACAGGGTGTTTGCTGGTCAGCCCCCATTTGTCAACCTATTGGCTCTATTTGCAGCTGTCTGGCTTGAAGTCATCGTGGTGGTCTGTAGCACGAGATGCGACGCGCCCCTAATCATCAGTGTAGAGGGAAGCCACCTTAATGTCACATATCCGGCACATTATCTTTAGCCGTTTTAAATCCAAAATGGTTCCAGACGTCAGGCTTCAGTTGAGACAGCTTGCTGAGCGGGGTGTTACTTGGGTCGGCATTTGAATGTGAACGTGCGTCACTATAAAACTAATCGATCTCATTCCCTAAACATCGATTTTACAAAAATGTAAAGGAATCGATCCAAAATCGATTAAACAATTTTTTTATCCAGCCCTCCCCAAGTGTAAACAAAATAAAAATTTGTTAAGAACATGTGGGCTCTCCTCATCCTCCCCAAGAAGTCCAAGTGCTTCTGGGCCCTTCTGACCAGTGAGGTGGTGTTTCCAGTCCAGGTGAGGGTGTCTGTGATGTGCACCCCCAGGAATTTGATGCTGTTGACCACCTCTACAGCTAAGCTGTTGATGAGCAGTGGAGCGTGGTTAGGACGGTTCTTCCTGAAGTCCAAGATGATCTCCTTGGTCTTTTCCACATTCAGTATCAGGCTGTTATCTCTGCATCAGCCCACCAGCTGCTCCAACTCCTCTCTGTAGTCCAGGTCGTTGTCGTCTCTGATGACGCCTCTGATGAGGTGTCGTCTGCAAACTTCACCATGTGATTGGTGGTGAACCTGGGGACGCAGTCGTGTGTCATCAGGGTGAACAGCAGGGGCTCAGGACGCAGCCCTGAGGGGAGCCCGTGCTTAGACTGATGACATCAGAGGTGTTCTGTCCGACCCGGACTGACTGAGGTCTGTTGGTGAGGAAGTCTAGCAGCCAATAGCCGAGGGGTGTATTGAAGCCTAGCTGTTCCAGTTTGCCCATCAGATGCTGTGGGATGATGGTGTTGTAACCTGAACTGAAGTCCAGGATCAGCATCCGCACGTGGGAGTTCTTCTCCTCCAGGTGTGCCAGGCTCAGGTGGAGAGCTGCAGAGATGGCGTCCTCAGTGGAGCAGTTCTGTCGGTAGGCAAACTGGAACGGGTCGAATGTTGGAGGCAGACTGGAGATGATGTGTTCTTTAACCAGCCTTTGGAAGCACTTCATCATGATTGGAGTCAATGCGACAGTCATTGAGTGAGGTGACCTGAGGCTTCTTTGGGACTGGAATAATGGAGGCAGACTTGAAGCATGCTGGCACTATGGATTGGTCCAGCCAGGTGTTAAAGATGTCTGTGAGGACACCAACCAGCTAATCTGCGTACTCCTTATACACCCGCCCAGGTATGTTATCAGGCCCTGGGGCCTTCCTCGGATTGACTCTCCTCAGAGTTTTCCTCACTTCATCTACGTCCAGGGGGGGGAGAGGGGGGAGGGGGGGTTGTAGTCTGTGATCATCTGAATGCCTTTCCACATCCTCCTGGTGTTGCTGTTGTTGTGGAAAAGATCCTGGACCTAATTTAATCTGTGTTGGTCTTTGTTAAAGTCGTAGAGAGGTCATATTTAAATGTCAACTCATTCTGGCTTAAACATGTATATAAATGTACTCTTTATCAGACAATATTTCCCAAAAATTCAGAAAATATCTATTAAAAAAAAAGATCCTGTCTTAAAATCTGTGGATTTTTTTCATTATCTTCTGCAGGCCAGTTAGTTCTACGTCAGCCTGAACACCTAAATTCAGCCAATCATATATCAACGTTCATCTGTCAATCAAAATTTTTCAGTCATAGCATCTTGATTCAAATGTCGCAGCTAATATACGCAACGGTTGAAATCAGAATCATTTCCTTTCCCATTGAGTTGCGTCCCAGTGTTCACTGGGATGGACGTCTGTGTCTTCAGCAGGCGTAGAGCTAACAGAACTGGCAGCGTTGCGAGGCAAGGGCTCAAACATGTACGGCTGGAAGCCTTCTACACCAAACCAAGCTTCTGCCGCCCTGGCGTCCTCTTCCACAACATCTTCGTCCCCGCTTTCCTCCTCTAAATAAAAAATGGATGACGGTGGAGACTCATCCATGACCTCCGACACTGAACTCTCCTCCTCTTGCATGTTTCCTCTGTCCATAGCGTTCCTTGACAGCGTCGTTTCTAAAGGCTGAAACCGGGTCGTCTGCATGTGTGTCGCAGTTAACGCATTATTCACATATAGAAATATGTGAGTCAGGACATAGTCTATATACTAAACTGAACAATACTTTAAAAAAAACAGTTTAGATTTAAAATAGAATTTTTTTTTTTATTGAAAATTCAATGTATGAATAGTGGATGAATAAAAACCTCATTTTATTTCAGTGTTAAATTCTGTTTAAAGTAAAGGATTATAATTGAAAATGTCTTTGGACCTTTACTGGTTGATGATTTTCTGTATTCAGGCACCGCTGATTTTTAATTGGTTACCCCTGCTATAGGTCATCGCATTAGACCCACCTCCTAACCCAACTTTGAGAATAGATTAAGGGCGATATTTTGTTTGCTGCCTGATAAGCTTCATTAACGCAGCATGTTAACGGCGATAAAGGCCCACCGCTAAAAAAAAAGATTCTTTCTTTGTTTAATCGCAGATAAATCTGATATAGTGACAGTTGAGCAATGGTTTTTATTTTAGCGTTTCCTTTGGACCTGATGGTTGTGCAGCTTTTCCTGAAGTTTCCTCTGAAACCATCCGGGCTGAACAGGTTGAAGCTTTTCAGATGCTTTATTGGATAAATCTCCTAACCAGCTTCATGCACGGAGATTAAACCCCTGAAGCCCAGTTTGTTTGATCAACTTTATCTCTCTCCAACTCTTGTCATTTAATGGAGCTCTGACCCAGTGCTGCAGACTTTTAATAAAAGGAGGTTCTAATGATCCGTCCACTGCTATGCAATTGAAATCAATAGGATGACTCTAATGCTCTATGCAACAAAGACCCTAACACCCAAATATTGGCTCCACCTGCTCCGCCCCTGCTGCAGCATGAACGTTGGAGCAACTTGTTAATCTAGGATCAAGGGGATTAAAGGCAGAGTCGGTTTCAGATGACTGAAATCTTTAATGTGTTCTGGACTTCATTTTAGACATTCCACTAAAAAATGTTCATAGAGCACATTCTGTGTGAATTTGTATATGAGGGTTAATAGATGTACCAGAAAAGCAGAAATACTCCACCTTATTGAGTGAATGTTTCAGACTGGACGTGTGTCTCTGTTCCAGACGGAGCAGCTCCAGAGGCGGATCCATCATCTTCCAGCTCTCATCCCAGCATCAGTCCCTGGAAGATCCCCTGTTCCACCAGGCTGAACGACAGCAGCCTCGCAGGTACCTTCGTCCGCTGGGAGGAGAGCGCTCTACCCTGGTAGGTTCCCCCCCTCTGCTCAGACCTCCGTCTGCGTTGGACCCCTGCTGGCTAATGAGGTAATAACAGTGATGTGCTTGCAGCTCTTTAGTCCTGGAGAACGTGGAGAGGCAGAGCACCTGTGAGCTGGAGGTGGATGCTGTGGCTGTCGACATCCTTAACCGCCTCGACATTGAAAGTAGGTGCAGTGAGATGTTTTTCCTCCTCAGGTTTGGTCACAGAGAGGAGATTAGCGGAGATGAGGGAGTTGATCAGAGGGTAAATGTTACAAACCCCCTGAAGACCACTAATGGTACACAACCACAGAAGTAATCTACATAAACAGATGAGGTCAGTTGCAAAATACAATTTATTTTACAATTAGCAGGGGTTCAATTACAAGAGACAACAAAACACAAGGAAGCTTTAAACCTCAGGGTGTCTAGACCAAAGCAACAAACAAAACACACCGTTATTTAGTTATAAAAATAAAACATTTTCTAAAGGAGAACTGAAAAGAAAGTACAATACCTGAACTCCCTGGCTAACCAAAAGACAAGGAGAAAACGGTTCAACTAAAATGGCAGAGAACCCCCACCAGCTTCCAGAAAATTCTCATAATGATATTCTCAGTATATGCTCACAGACAAGATCGCTTCAGATTAAGGTCCAGGGAATAAGGGAAAGAGAAGAGGCCTGACATCTCAGGTTTGAAGCTCTTTTGGGGGCTGCTGGCGAGCTCCAACACATTGCACCTGCAGCATCCAGGTAGACCTGCAACACAAAGAGAGAGCTCTCTCCTGAAGAGAGCCCCTAGAGGTCAGTGACTGTAGCAGTGAACACCAATAAACAGATGTTATCTGACAACATCTTTGGCTTCCAGAGGGGATGAAGTGGTCTCTGATCTCTCCTAACGCCCCCACATGTCGCTCTGGCCCTCTGCTTTGTCATCAGGATGCCAGAGATCCACCTCTTTACTGCCTGATTGATTGTCCTCCTGCAGCGTGAGTTTGCACTAATCAAACAGGGATCACTGCTGGAATCACCAGCAGGATCTCTGGGTAGCAACCAAACTCCAGATTATTCCTGCATACTGGAAGCTTCCCAGAACACTTTGTTCTTCATTTCTAAACCCCAGTCATTCTGAATTCATCCATTTTTTCACAAATTAGATCCCCAGCTGAGAACTCAGTGCATCTCCTCAATAGACACAAGATATAGTATTAGTTTAACTGTAAAAACATCTAGAAATAAGTCAGTATTTCTTAAATTAAGTGTAGTTACCCTTAATTTGAGTAGGTAAATAAAACAATTTGGCAATGGAATAAGGATTTCTACTCTTGAAATAAGATAATTAGATGATATGCACTAGAAATAAAACAATACCATTGTTTTTTATTTTATTTTAAATGTAAATTGTCTTGTTCCATTGACAGTGTACTCACTACTTCCTCCTCAAATCAAGAAAAAATGACTCAAAATATCCACTATGGAGGGAATTTTGTTCCATTATTGTTGGAGTCAAAGAACATGTTTAATAAATCGAAATGTAAAAAAATACATAAAAAAAACCGCACACATTTTCTTTGGTGCAACATAACCTTAGAGGCTACAAAAATATGAATAAATAAAATGAAATACAAAAATCAATGGCACACAGACAAAACAATTCTTCCTTCAAAGAAAAATCACGTCTTGTACAAATTAATGTAAAACTTTTGTGATGAATCATGGCAGCAGATCCAGAATTCAGCCAGAGGTTCTTTAAAAAAGTAATTTCTTAAACAAAAAGCAAAGCAATACCAAAAAGGACCGAAGAATCAAAAAGACTACAGTCTCCAGGTGTAAGCAGAGGCTGATTGAAGCCAAGATAAAAGGAGCCTGGATGAAGGGAGGGGTGATGGAGACACGCTGCAGAGCGAGGGGCAGGTAGATCCGCACGCCAGGCACAGAATACCAGGAGGTGAACAGACGGCACAGTCAGGGCAGAGGTCCTCACCTGTAAGCAGAGCTCCGTCTCCATCATGTGGATCCCACCTGCCCCTCGCTCAGCAGTGTGGTGGTTTGCTGCAGGATTAGCTCCGCCCCTCTGTCCATCTGAGGGATGGAGCAACACCTGCGCAGCAGTTGCAGAGCGCAGTTAGCGCATTCCGCTTTCAGCCCAGCTTGGATTGTTAGAGGAGGAAAAGCAAAACCCAAAACAATCCAAACATACAAACATAGAAATTTGGACCACACCCAAGCATACAAAGGACGACAACAAAAAATGTAAATAAAAGAAAATACAATCATGTTTTCTCCTGGGAATGTAGTGTTGTTGCGTGCAACACAACATTCCCCACAATGCAACGGTAGCCATTGAAGTCACAGCAGCGTGCACCATCGGCCGGGCTGGTTCTAATGGTAATTAAATATCATCCGGGGGCCGTGGATAAACGATTGACTTTGACATATGTGATCTAGTTAGACATTACATTTGACTCTTTACTTTGGTTAAAGGATGGTTGAAATATTCTGGATCAGAGAAACAAGACGTTTGGCTTCACTAGACGTCTTACATTTATAGTATATAAGTGCAGAACTGCAGTAAGCTTCACCTAGATCTGGTTATCGAACAATCAGGCTAATTATGCATGTTTTATTTATTTCATTCATTAATTTAAAGCTGTTATTAATCTAAGTGAGCCGGTATGAACAGCAGTTCAGTAAAACCTTGTTGAGAAACAAATACTTAAATATTTTCCTACCAGGGCATTTATTTGATATAAGATCAAAGCAGAGACTAATACTTTATGGTTATTTATCTTTTGACAGTTATTTTATTACCCATTCCTTTATTTTACATTTTCTGGATTTTAAACCCGTTTTTTCTTTTTTTCTTTTTCAATTTAATATCTAAATTATGGTTGAATTTCTGACGTGAAGGTTTAAAATGAGGCTCCTTCTATCGTACAGAGGAATTAAAAAAANGTTGAATTTCTGACGTGAAGGTTTAAAATGAGGCTCCTTCTATCGTACAGAGGAATTAAAAAAAACGGCACTGGTTTTGGGGGGATGTTCTCAGGAGGGGGGGTGTTTAAAAGATGAGGAGGGTTTGCTAGCTAACCTTTTTGTTGTTTTGTTTCTTGTTTTTCTTCAGATCAGATTGGAAGGAACCCTGGACTGCAGGCTATTTGGGAGGATGAGAAGCAGAGGAGGAGGGAGAACAACCAGTCCTCCCAGATAGAAGCTCCTCAATCACAGGGTGAGGAGGAAGAACTGTTTAAGAACAATAAAAACCACTTTCTCTTTGGAAAAAATATATCAGACCTTAGATTTGATTAAAGAACACAACTCTGTTTTATTATCAACATCCAGGCAGGTTCATCTGCAGGTTGTCCTGGAAGAACAATTAGAAAGAACCCTGAACAACTGAGGGACTCATAAAGCCGGGCGTACACTGTACCATTTTTCACCCTTTTGGCCCGATTTTTTCAGTCGTGCGAGAATTTTTCGATCAGCCCGGCTTTCAGCTTGATCGTGCGTCGTGTAGTGTACAGGGGGTAACGAGGGACGATCAGCCTCTCACCATCACCTCACCGATCAGGGATAGGGGTGTAAATCACATCCATCATGGCGATTCGATTCAGTATCGATTTCCTGACCCAACGATTCGATTATGTTTCGATACTCAAGAATACACCACGATACGATACGATTCGATTCGTTGTTTTTTTTTTTGTTTGTTTGTTTTTTTAACACCTTACAGGCTGGACAATGTTTCAGATTTGAAATAAATCAATGAAAGCTGTAATATTGTTATGCATTTTATTTGAGAAACAACAGCAAATAACAGAAGTAGAAAAGTTGCACTCCATCTATTCCTATTAAAACCTCTTCACTGAAAAATAATAATCCCCCTGCGTTATAGATTCTGAAAGGCCTTGCATCAAAAAATACTGCACAAAATCAGTGCAATGAGTGCAATGCAATA